CAATAAAAATAAACAAACAAACAAACAAATAAATCTTTTTAAAAAGAAACAAACACATACATTTATATGAAATACTTGTATAAGACTGTCTTTAGCAGCTTTATTCGTAGTGGGTTTTCTCAAAAGTCAGTACCCGTCCACATATCAATCACCAATAGTGAAAAACAAACTCTGATATAGTCATAACAAGAGAATATTTAACAATAAAAAGGAAAAAAATCACTGACACATACAATAACAAGAATAAATATAAAATAATTCTGCTGAGGCAAAGCAGTATTTTACTTCGTATGGCTTAGGTTACAGAAAAACTTTAGAAAAGGCAGATTGCATGTGTGATAGGAAAAGAACAGAACTATAGTTACAACCTGAGGGGCAGGGGAGGGACAGCTTGGGAAGGGGCATTAGGAAACGCTGTGGGGTCTCTGCAATGTTCTGCATTTTCCAAGGGGTTTAGGCTACACAAGTGCTTATATTTGCAAAAACACAATAAATTTATACTTAAGATTTATACATTTTTGTTGAAAACATTAAGTAACAGAAGCTAAATAAATTTTTTACAATCAAAGGGAAAGCCTTATCTTTCTACATCCCTTTGCCTAAAATAAACAATTCTTGCTGTAATATAGAGATTCCATAACAACAGAGGGACAAAAAATTAACCCCTAAAATTTTCCTAGGATTCTAAAAGGTAAATTATATACATGAACCTGGAAAGATCAAAAAATTAAAAATATATTAAAAAGGAAGCTGAGCTACATTCAGAGTAACTAAAATACTAGTACGTTTATTATCTCCAGAAACAAGATGAGAATATAATGTTACAAATTTTATCTGGGAGGTAGAGTTTCCAGCTGCTGGCTCACTTCATATATGTGTATGAGGGTTAGGTCGAGCTGAAGCCAGGAGCTGAGGATTCAACCCAGGTTTCCATGTGAGTGGCAGAGACCATCTTGTCCTGCTTTCCCAGGAGTGTTAGCAGGGACCTGGATCAGAAGAGGAGCTACTGGGACTGGAATTAGCAGCTGTGACTTAACTTGCTCTGCTACAATGCCAGCCTAGAAGAACCATCTTTTCTGTCAAGTAATATGGGTGAACTCTGCCTTATCCAAACATTTCCCAAAATAAGTATATATTCAATAATTTAAAAACAATACTTATTGGGCCAGGTGCTTGGTGTAACTGTATCTCAAGACACTGCTTGAGATGCCTTCCATATTAGTTCTGCAGTGTAAGTGTTCACTCTGCTTCCAATCCAGCTTCCTGCTAATGTGTGCCCTGGGAGGCAACTGGCACCTATGTGGGTGGCCTCCTGATTTGGCTTGGCCCCGCATGGCTATTACAGGCATTTGAGCAGTGAACTAGATAATGAAAGCTGTATCTGCTCTGTCACTTTGCCTTTTAAGTAGCTAAAAATAAATAAAACTTTAAAAAGAAATACTTATTAAGCCTTTTACTATGTACCTAATATTGTAACTGTCAGCATGCTATTTATGGGCTAAAACAACATATATCACCTTTTGAGAATGTTGGAGGAAATTTGGAATAAATTTGCTGAACAAATCTAGATGTTCCCCATTTCTGCATCCCATGTGGGATTTGGGGGCAAACTTATTTCCATAAATCTTACTTTGCTCATTTGTACAAAGAGGAAAGACAAGGGTAGTTCATACCTCATGAGACTACTCTGAATAGTAAATGACACAACACATTTGACACATATATTATGGTGACTGGCAAATGGAGACTACACAATAAATATAATTTATTTTCCTTTAAGGATTTATTTATTTTTACTGGAAAGTCAGATTTTTACAGAGAGAAGGAGATATCTCAGAGACAAAGATCTTCCATTTGCTGGTTCATTCCCCAAAAGGCTACAGTGGTTGGAGCTGAGCTGAAATGGAGCCAGCAGCTTCCTCAGATCTCCCACATGGGTACAAGGTCCCAAGATTTTGGCCACTCTCTTATGCTTTCCCAGGCCACAAACAGGGAGCTGCATTAGAAGTGGAGCAGTCAGGACATGAATTGGTGCTCAGATAGGATGCTGGCACTTGCAAGCTGAGGATTAGTTAATTGAGCCATTGCACCATCACTGATATTTATGCTCTTTAAAGTGTGAATGCAATCTGGGGCTATGTTGTGGGCAGCTAAGCCTCTGTTTTCAGTGCCAGCATCCCATACAGGCACCAGTTTGAGTCCTGGCTGCTCTTTCCAGGACTACAACAACATCAACTACCTGTTGATGGCCTGGGAAAGCAGCAGTGGATGGCCCAGGTGCTTGGGCTCCTGCGCTCCTCCTCCATGGGAAACTGGAAAGAAGTTTCTGGCATTGGAGTGGCTCAGGTCTAGTTGTTGTGGTGACTTACGGAGTAAACCAGCAGAGGGAAGATTTCTCTCTGTGTCACTCCTTCTCTAACTCTGCCTTTCAAATAAAAATAAAGTATATACACAATAGTGTTAAAATAATATAGAACCCTTATTTTTAAAAAATGTAACAGTATTACTGCAACAATAGTAACCATGACAAGACTTGTTTTTTTTTTTTTTTCCTCCCTCACTTTCAAGAAATATTGTGGAAAGTCAAGAACTGAAAGCTTGCTGTACCCATACTGTAAGACTTTGGTCAGGAGTGAAATGCAGAAATGTACCTCTTCTCAGTTTCATGTCTATACTTGCTGACAGAAACTACACTGCTCCTCCTCTTTTTCGTAGTAAACTCAGAAACATTTCAACCTGCCATTGGTGGGTACCTAGCTAGAGTGTCTAACCAAATAGAAGAAGAGGGCAGTTAAGGTGGGACAGGATACAAAGCCACCATCCCACGCCTAAGAGAATCACAGAGTCCAACAGGTGGCAGGATGACATTAGGCAGCTGTGAAACCCTTACTAATGTGATAAGGAGGGAGCAATACTAGGAAGGAGCTGAAGTTCGCCAGCCAGGGCCCACTCTGCTCAAACTACTCCGCTTTCCACACACTGTCCCCTTTTCAGTGTAATGCTTAAACCCGTCTTCTGTGCACTGATTAATCTCTCCCTGTAGAGAAGACCACAAGTTCCAGGATGTTGACATTTGGAAGGACAGCTAGCTGGAACCATCTAATGTGGCTGGAGGCTCTGTCTCCGAGATAACCTTTAAAATGTCATTATAATAAAATGACCACCACCACCACTCCCACTATGAACCTCACAACGTGACAATTCCAAGAGTCCCAAAAATGCGCAAGGAAATTAGTGGTACTCAAGTCTGGCCCCAAACTCTGCTCCCCTGAATATTCGGGCACTACCTTTTCTATCTCCAGATCATACAAAAGGCCAGCCTGAATCATGCTGACTGCAGCTGATTCTCTCAAGTTACCCACACTCACTCCCGAGCGTGTGCTTTTACTTTAAATATATATTGTTCTCTGCTTGCTTTTATTTAAGTCTCTCATGAATGTTTTCTCATGTGGAGACAAGAACTTCGGCCAAATCTAGTCAGCATCTACCCACAACATCTTTTTGGGAAGTATACTGCATTATTTCCTATTACATGCGGTATCTAAATTCTTCACGCTCTTTGTTATCTTCTGTATCTGTTGGCATCTTTCTATCAACTGTCCTGGTACCAGTCATATACTGTTTATACTGGTTCAAACGACAGCAGCTTACATATTTACCTGGAAGCACAGCATGTACATTAGTGACACTGCCCACGATTCCTTGCTGTCTATCACACTAAGCATATTTCACACTAGCTGCTGCTTCTTCTTATTATTATTATTTTGCCAACCTTGCATGACGTTTGGACCCAGATCTAGCTAGATTTTTGCAATTTAGTTGTTTCTTGGTGGTCAGTTCACATCTAGACTAGCAGTATTGTACCCTTGACCCCTAACAAAAAAAGCAGTCAAGACTCTAAAGTATTTCCTAACACCTTTTGAACAGATCATTTAATCAAAAGAAGGCAATAACTTGTAGGGGAACGTGAAACTGAATAACCACCTTAAAAACAAACCAACCAAACAAACAAACATGTAATGTGACTGAAGTCTAAAGGCATCCTATTCTGAAATACCCTTGGAAATGGAGAACAAGCATTCTGCTTATTTATAGCACTGTGTCTGCTCTGAAACTCACATAACACTGGTTTCTTTCTTTTCTCTGACATTTTTCTCCTGTTACAAGACTTATTTTTCAAGCTGTGTACTTACTGAGGATTGAGGTAGAATTTGTGCCAAATTGAAAGTCTGGAGCAATATTTAGCACATTGTAAGTCTTCAATTGTTTTGTAATCATAATCTCATCTCTGAAATGCTTTGAAAGCTTCAGATATTAAACAGTGCTATTAAACATGCATAAAATTTAATAGACTTTTCAATTAGTAGATATAAATGTATTATAATTTAACACATCAAGATAATCTTATTGTCTTGCTCACTAGGCAATCATCTTTACTTTCCCAGATGGTTATTATCTATTTTGAATAAGATCACACTTAGAAATATCTATTTTTAGCCCACATATAAATATTTTCTTTTATTCTAAAACATTAATACAGATGAATATGATTAACCTGAAAATCTAAAATCCTCCAACGTTTGAAACTTTTTGAGTGTGGATGTGATGGCACTAATGAAAAACTCTATACTCGACCCCATGATATATTGCAGTCACAAGACAAAGACAGACACACTAAAAATATTGTATAAAATTACCAAATTACCTTCAGGTTACTTGCATAAGGCATACACAGAATAAATTAATTTCATGTTTAGACTTGGTTCCCATTGTCAATATATCTTAAAATGAATAAGAGCAAATATTCTAAAACCTTGAAGAATCCAACATTTGAAACACTTTTGATCCCAAGCACTTTGGATAAAGGGGCTCAACCTATAATCTTTATTATTGAATGAAAACACAACTTTAGGTTTGTTAAGGTTTACAAACTTGGTTAACTAATTACGTACTAGCTAATACTTCTCTCTGCTTAACTTTGTTGATTTGTAAACTTTCAAGGAAAGACTTGAGCAAAACTCACATCAGTGTTAATATGGAAGCAACCAAAAATTGGAAGATTTTAATAGAAATTATCCACTCTAAAATTCTCTACTTAAAACCTAAGCCTAAGACAGTACATAAGTTTGACTGGTGTTACCTTTATCTTATTTCATAGGTGCAAAAATATTGCCCAAACAAAATAGATAGAATGGTGCTGTGACATATCCTTGCATATGTCAAGAACTGAACAGGCTAAAATTCAGAAAAAATTCACCAAAGTTTTGCTTGGAATCTTTGACATTGTAAAAGGAGCACAAGATTTCCATGGAAACATAAAGCCAAGAGAATAAAGCTATGGAAGACTAGATAATTTGAAAACTGGAAGCAACTCATCATACTATATATAAACATAAAACAAATATATATATATAACACTTAAAAATTGTGAAGACACTTAATACATCTCATTTCTCATCCTCAAAGTTTGTACACACAACATAGAATTTCTTTTTGTATCTTTATTTTGTGTCCCTCTTCAAGCTTTGCCAATCAAAATTCCATTCTACCCTTAAACTCCCCATTGATGACCCTTCCCTCAACAACTGGATTTCAGTTTTTTCTCTAGCACTTTGCATGTACATTATCAACTACCTAAATTCTCCAAATCGTTAATCTTCTTGAAGTTCTCATCGAGTTCAGTCTTAATTATCTGTATTCAACTCAAGACCTTCCAGGAAAACATTAGAGGATGTGTTACGTAGATAAGGAAAGGGAGGACTAGACACAGGTGCTGGTGTGTCTGGCCAGAACTGTAACTGTAACTGATAAGTTACAATTAGCCCGCCTTTTAACTTAACAACTTCTGCTTATGGCTTCTTATTCTTCTTCCCCAGGGTCACATACCATCTGGTACACGTAGCAGCTGAAGACTCTGTTGGGTTTCTGTTCTATGTGTAGCACCAAGTCTCTGTCAAAGTAGACCTCATGGCTGTATGTCTGTAAGAAAAACACAATCATAGGCAATCTCCTTTTCACATAATCATATTCACTGGTGTGTCACTACAATGCTACAGCATCTAAGCTGTGAATATTCAGATTTATACTTAAAAACAGTTGCTAAAAATGGGTTTACTTCTCATTTGTGCATAAGTAGATTAATAATGAAAGAACTATTGTACAAAATGTAGAAAATTTAGAAATAAGTTGGGACTAACCAGTCTGAATACTCAGATTGTACTGTCAACTCTATTACCTATCTCATCATGTGTAGAAGCTGTTAAATCTGAAGCTCCACTGCTAAAAAAGAAGAGGCCCGAATGAAATAACAATGTATCATTTAATAATTTCATATTCTTTTTTAAAAATAATTTTATATTCTATAACAGATAATCGTGCTTGGAAATCCTACATATCATTTTTAAAGAGGAATTTATTAGTACATTAGAATCTCAGGGTCAAACTCCCTACGTCATATATAGATATGATCTCTACAAATAATTATGGGAGTTTGTGACATGATAAATTTTATTTTTTTAATGTTGTCAAACTTATTGGGAGAAAATCTAGGATAATGAGAAAGAGGGAAAGAGCATGGCTCATTTGTAGAAGGCATCTCCTAGTGTCAACAGGAAGAAGGCAAAGAAATATTAATTGTGTCCTGTGTGTAAGACAATAGCCACTTTCATGTGGTCATTGGCCCAGATGGGCCTCGAGTGACATCAACACAGTAACTTGTGTTTCAATAAATAGCATCTTCAACAAGAGCTCTTATAGCTGTATACTGTGGATTCTACTCACCACATCCCAGGACTCTACTAGTGGAATACTTTTAAGTAAAGTTCCATATTCATTACAGTGAAAATCCAGGTGAGCTTTTCCTTCAGCATCAATCTGGGTAACAGCCACCACGGAAAGCAAATCTAACTCATCTTCATAGTCCACAATTTTGAAAGTCTTGGAGGCAGATGGGTAAGGCAAAGGCAAAGAAAAGCAAAATCCAGTAACTCAGTTAGGATTGTTCCTACAGGTATAGTTTAATCATACTATTACTGACACAAATGTGGGAGAATGAATGGGTACAGGAATAGGTATGAATGTTCTCTCTAGTTATACCCTACCAAAATAGCTGCTCCTAGATTTTTCAAGAGCTCAGCGGTGTCCTATAAATTCTGACAACACAATCAAGCCTACATAGATTCTGGCCAAAATGTAACTGAAATGACAGCAAACCAGAATTCCACATCTAAAATAGGTATTCAATTGCTGCCTTAGTCATGTATTCACTCGATTTTGGTCAGGACTAAGTATACAAGACTTGATTCTGAAACCTGAACACTGCTCATGGAGCTCTGAAAGTCTCAAGCCAGAAAAAAAAGTAGTCATTTCAGTAAGAGCTGATGGCCCTTCCTACATTATCAATCACTCAACCTGCCATCCTTTTGGTTTTTAAAACAAAGGCTCGGGGTCCTATAAAGAATGAAAAAAAAATGTTGTTTATTCTTGAGGGAAAAACATTGGCAACTGAAATCCAAGTTACGGAAGAGACCTGGGTTAGCTGTCCACCAGAACAAAAGAAAGCAGACCCTAGTGCCCAGACACGCCCAGGGAGCTGCACTGACCCTAAAAACAGTGAGTTTCCCTTCACCACTTCACACTAATCCCTTACTTGTGTATCTATTTATATTTTCTGTCTCTATCACCTTAAGACAGAAATGGACATAACCAACCAATAGTTCCCTTTTTTTTTTGCCTTAGAGTAAAAATGTGACTTCTTACTCAGGTGTCAGTGAATCAGTTTTTCATCAGAATGCCTTTGGATTTTTCCTTTACGGGCTAAAAAGACTTTGTTTTCTAATCTCATGATACAAAAACTCTCTTTTTTTTTTTGGCTAACACCGCACTTCTCCCAAAAATATTTGCAAGGATATTCACGTTTAACAGTAAAAAGAAGGCAAAAGTCATAAAATCAAATGCACACATCAAGGTGAAAAAACAGAAAATTGATTGCATCTTGAAATTATTTTTGGTCATATTAAGCCTGCTACAAAATCTTATGAATAACTGTAAAACACTAAAAAGAAGACACGAAGTTACCCTGATTTATATAACACACACAATCCCACCCACCGGGCCCTCAACCCTAACCACTATCTCACATTCTGGGAGGTGTTATTCGGAGGTACACACTGGTTGGTTTTGTCATTTCTGGATAAAGTAGTACCTCTTGCTCTGGGTCATCATCCAGAAGAGTAAAAGTTTTCTTTACCATCCGTCCAGATGCTGTAACAGTGAATAAATTTTCTTTCTGTCATGTGGAGAGAAATACAAAGATATCACAAGCTCTATTATATGCGAAGGTAAAATTTTATTAACAAATTTGGTAAAATTGAATAATCCTTCTCAATGGCCCCAATCCTTTCCTTAACTAAGGAAATAGGATTCTGATCCTTCAGTTAATAAAACAACACTTTAAGTGTAATCAAATTTTCAGGCAAAAATGAATTAATTAAAAGGTAACAATTTACTTTATTACTTCATTTGTCCTTTCTGACTTTTTCTCAGTATAGGACAACACACAAAAAGTGAATCTGCTTCGGGCCCGGCGCGGTGGCGCAAGTGGTTAAAGGTCCTCGCCTAGCACGCCCGGGATCCCATATGGGCGCCGGTTCTAATCCCGGCAGCCCCGCTTCCCTTCCAGCTCCCTGCCTGTGGCCTGGGAAAGCAGTCGAGGACGGCCCAAAGCTTTGGGACCCTGCACCCGCGTGGGAGACCCGGAAGAGGCTCCTGGCTTCGGATCGGCATAGTATCGGCCCGTTGCGCTCACTTGGGGAGTGAATCATCGGATGGAAGATCTTCCTCTCTGTCTCTCCTCTCTGTATATCCGCCTTTCCAATGAAAAAAAATAATAAAAATAAATCTTTAAAAAAAAAAAAAGTGAATCTGCTTCTAGAAATCATCCTTTTGAATACTTTCTTCATTTATAATCTGAAGCAAAATTATTGTATGGAGCTAAATTATGACATTTTAAAATTTTTATATCTTTTAAATATTTATTTATTTAAAGGTAAAATTAGAAAGGGAGAGATAGAACAGTGAGCTTCCATCCACATGTTCAAACCTCAGCCACACTGGCCAAAGCAGGGCCAGGAGTCCCATCCAAGTCCCCCACATGGGTGCCTGGGCCCAAGTCTCTGGGCAATTTTCTGCTGCTTTCTCAGGAGTATTAGCAGAGAAATGGATTAGAAATGGTGCAGCTAGTTGTGCTCACAGTGTTTTAGGCAATGACTTACACCACTGCATCAGAATGCCAGCCCCAAGTATGGTATTTTTGAAGATTTATATATATATATCTCAATGAATTAGATCCCAAAATTGGTAATTCACTAATAGAATCTCAGAAATAGAACAGAAACAGAGAAAAGACAAGTTTAATACAGAACAGAAAAAGAGAAAAGACAAGTTTAATACAATAAACTCTCTTCAGATCCCCTATGTACATAAGCTAATACTGATTAGCCCATGGACAAAACAGACTTTTACAGGGCTGTGCTACTGTTTTTGGCTACACTCAAACACAAGCACATTTAAGTATCATTTCTTTATGACAAAGGGTTTTTAAAATAATCCTGACTTACTTTGTTCTCCCTATTGGCAAATATGACAAAATCTTCAGAGACCTGATGCTGAGAACTATCATCTTCTACTTCATTTAGCTTTAAAACTCTGAAAAGAAAAAAGGAATTCCAAGAATTGAAGACTTCAAAACAAGATTAATGTGCCAAAACTGAATGACTGAAATAAAATTCCACAACACGAAATGGGAGTAATAACACTGACTTAGTCCTCTTCTGATGACGAGCCTCCAACATGAACTTGTGACTGGACCATGTAAAGAAATGTCATCAAATTCAGAGATTTTATTAAACAGAAAAATGTTTAGCCCCATGGCAACAGGTTCTCCTGAACTAGGTAATGAAACTGCTGGCTCAGGGCTAAAGCACCTTCCAAAGTGGCTTAAGGAAAATTACCCTGAAGACCCTCACCTATGCTATCCTGCAACAGACTCATTTTAAATGTTTATTTGAATAACAGCTTTACAGCAGAAATCTGCATTTCTATTTTCAAAGATATCTATGCACAATACTGAAAGTTAATTTATGAAACATATTGGATTTTTTAAGAATACTATTTATGTATAAATAAGATTTATTTATTTGAAAGGCAGACAGAGCAACAGAGAGAGTGAGAGACAGAGATAGTCCACCTGCTAGCTCACTCTCCAACAGCCAGTCCTGGATCAGGCTGAAACTAGGAGCCAGGAACTCCATCCTATTTTTCCATATCAGTGATATGGGTTCAAGTAAATGGGCCACGCTTATTAGCTGGCAGCAGATGGGTAGTGGATTAGCCAGAACTCAAACTGTTACTTAGATACAGGATGCCAGAGTTGCAAAGTGGTGGCTTAACTCACTGTACCACAACACTGGCTCCACAACAGAGTAATATTTTACAATGTAAACTGGAGTGGGCATCTAGCCTGTTTTTAAGACATCTCATTATCAGAGTGCATGGGTTTGATAAATGGCCCCAGCTTTGAGCTAATGCAGGCCCTGGGAGGGGGCAATGACTGCTCAGATAATGAAGTTATAATAGCAACACTGAGTTGGGTATTTGTTACCCATATCACGGGACACCTGATTGGGTGCCTGGCTCCTGGGTCTTGCCCCAGTCTAACCTCAGCAGCTGCAGGTGGCTGGTGAGTGAATCAGTAGATGGATGCCTTCTTTATCACCGTTTCTCTGCTTCTTGAATAAAGAAAACAACCCCGCAAAAGACAATACTTTTTCTTTAGTATTATATTCAAAGATTTGTATTTCCTGAGAATAAATGGCCTCATAGATAAAGCTCTCAGTAACAGAAAATAATTTGCAGATCACCCACACAAATCTGTTCACACTGCGAACAAGCTTCAAAAGCACAAGGTTCTAAAAGCTCAGTCTCAAACGCTGGCAAAGAGGACAGCAGACAGAAGTAGCTGCTGTGGCCACAGACAGCTGGAGGCCTCTCAGTTACAGAGACTAAGAAACCAGATAATGTATTATTATTTGAAAACATATTTATTTATTAAGAGAGACAGAGAAAGCTAATACTGTCATTTGCTGTTCCATTTCCCACATGGCTGGGACTGGGATGGAGCCAGATCCAGGAGGCTGGAGTTGGGAGCTGAAGCTACATACAGAACCCAAGCACTCCAATATAGGACATGAGCATCATTTTAATGTACACATGATTTCTCACGCCAAGGGAATACACAGAATCATGCAGAACGAGAATGCTGAGTGAGAAGAAAGGGCGTAAGCGATTAAAGTCTGGGTGGAGGAAGAGGTACATGAAAGTTGGAAGTTTTGCAAGTGGTAGAAAACATGCAGATACAAAGTCAGGGAAGCCAAAGCAGAACATTCCAAGGACAGAGAAGTCAACCTGTACATGTGTCATCCTGGACAAAATAAAATATTAATTACAATACTAATTTAACCACAACTTTTCCTGTATTAAAGCTGTCTTTCAGAACAGACACATTATCTTATTTTTTTTCTTTTCTTTCTTTTTTAAAGATTCATTTACTTAAAAGGCAGAATGACAGAGAAAAACACCTTTTATACACTTCCTTCTACTCCCCAGCGGCCACACAGCTATAGTTGGGCCAGGGAACTTTGAAATGAGATATTGGCATTGCAAGTAATGGCTCAACCTGCTGGGCCACAACAATGGCCCCATCTTGTTTCTTATTAATCCTAGGGAATTAATTAAGGCCTGAGAAGCAAATGTCAATCTCTAATCCCCTCACATATCATCCAATGGAAAACAGACTCAAATATGTTTAAGTTTCAAAAAAATTTTATTTGAAAGGCAGGGTGAGAAAGACAGATGTCTCATCTACTGGTTCACTCTTCAAATGCCTACAACAGTAGGGGCTGAGCCAGGTCAAAGATGGGAAGCTTCATTTGGGCCTCTGATGTGACAAGCAGGGACTCCTCTACTTAAGCTAACACCTGCTACCTTTACGGTAGGCAGGAGCAGAAGGCTGGAATCAGCATTAAAGTATACATCTGAACCCAAGCACACTGATGTGAAATGAGCATGCCCCAAGCAACCTCTTAACTACTATTCCAAATGCCTAGACCTCAGATATTCACAAATAGCAATGATGAACTAAAAGAAAAATGTCCAGTGTTTTGGATGTCAGCTTCTAAAAAAATACCCCATAATAAGCTAATTATTTCCATAACTGGCCCAATAGCTAGCTAACCAGAATAAAGATGCCAATAAATGCTAGGGCAAACTGGCTCTAACTTTAGAAGTGCTAATGAAGTTACTTACTTGACTTGATTTGGGCCAACATGTATTATTCTACCAGAAGCATCAGGATGGAAATAGATCCAGTCAGATTCTAGAGAACAACACTCCATTTCTTGGATTCCATTTTTTGCCTGTAGTTAGAAAAAAAAATCTTGAAGATGAAGATTATGAGAAAAATCAGATACTTTCTAAATAGAACAGTGGTAATGTTATCAGTAAGCAAAGGCATGGGGAACATAAACATTACCCAGTTGAATTAGGGATGTACAAGAGGGCTCATTTGGGACACTCAGCTTTGAGAAATTCAGAACATTTGAATTCAGAAATTTTACAGATTTACTCTGAATCACACAGCATACCTGAAAAATCCTAATAATTTATCATATCTCAAATATTTTGTGTCAGAGACTGCATTAGATGCTTTACAGCCATTAGTTCATCTGCTGTTAGTGATACTCAGATAGTATTCTCATTTCATGGATGAGGGAAATGACACACAAAGAGAATGAATCCTTTGTCCATTGTTTTGACCCTATTACAGCTCCTGAACTGTGTGGCTCTGCCATCAAAGTGCACAGGCCTCCCATGATGAAACCCTGCCATGAGCACAGGGCTCCCTGAAGCTTCTTCCCTTATACTTCCAACAGCCTGTCAATCAGGAGAGTGGTAAACATAAACACATAACCAAATCTAAAGCTTCAACACAGAAACTCCGTCGATAAGTTAACTTTCATGTCCGACAAAATGTCTAATGCTTTGTAAGAGATTTCACTGTAGTATGTTTAAATACTAAAACAAACAACAACAAATCTCTGATATGTGATTACATGTGCACATATATGGATCACTGGGAACCAATACCAACAAAAATATAACTTCACTGGCTTGACTGAAGTCATTTAATTCCTTCAAGGTAAAATTAAATGATACTTATTATCTTTGCTATTAGGTACTCACAGAAGTTCTGAAATACCAGAATTTCTTAATTTTGTCAGCATAGAATCTCAATGCTACTACATTATGTTCCAGGTATCACAGTAGATATTTGTATCAGACATGAATTAAATGTATTTCTTGCTATTAAGAATCTTTCAGTTTAGAGGGGAGGCAAAAGCATACGGAGAAAATACTAACGCAGTACAGAAAACCATGGAATTTGGGCTGGTGTTGTGCAGAGTGGGTTAAGCCAGCAGTACTGGTGTATCCTGTAGGCACCAGTTCAAGTACTGACTACTCTACTGCAGATCCAGTTACTTGATAATGTACCTGGGAAAACAGTGGAAGACTGCCCAAGTGCTTGGGCGCCTGCACTCACGTGGGAAACCTGGAAGAGGCTCTTGGCTCCTGATGTCAGCCTTGCCAAGGCTTGGTCTTTGAAGCCATGTGGGGAGTGAAACATTGGACGAAGGCTTGCTCTCTCAAAGATTCTCTTTCTTTCTTTCCCCTCTTCCCTCGTCCCCTTCCTTTTCTCTCTGCAATTCTAGCTTTCATAAGTAAAAAAATCTCAGACAGAAAAAAGAAAAAAAGTAATTGGGTCTGTGTGGAGTATCATCAAGCAACCAACCTGCATCTGGGGACAGCAAAATCAGAAGCACAGAGGTGTTAATACCTACAGGAACATCAACACAAGCAGCAGCCAGACCTACATTGAGAAGTATGTGTCCAGCCACAAGACTGCAGAGGCCAGGGTGGATAAGTATTTTGTATGTTATAATTTTTAGGATGTTTAATTTAGCACATTTTATGTGTCAAATTGGTAAATGGGCTTCAAGTTTTCATAATTTTTTTTACAAGCATCCTAATTACTTCTAATGGGAATGGTGGTATTACATTTCACTATAAGAAAATGGATGCCATTGAACATCTTGGTTGTAAACTATTAAAATTAATATGACTGATTATATTAGCTACAGATGCTCCTTTATTTAACATAAAACATGTGTATAAATGAGATTGTTCTCTTCATAATATCTAAAAACTGCACACAAACTCACTTTATCCTCTTTGTGTTAAATAATAGGCAGCTTTATTTTCAGTTTCTATAGATTTTGTTATTTGGTCAAATGCCAAATTTGAAGTCTTTTTAATACAGAAAGCTATAAGAGATTTTCTGAAATCTTACATTTGATGCTTATGTGTTTTGGGGTTACCCACTCTTCTGACAGGTGGGGAGGTAAGGATATATGCATCGTGAAGGCGATGTCACTACAGTAAAACCACCCAACAGAGATGAAAACACTTGCCTGGATTTGGCAAATCTGTATGAAAATAGTCAGTTATGACATAAGGGACTAATGTATTAAGAACTTTCACAAATAATTAAACCGAATAAACAATAAAAAAAAAAGCTAAAAACAAAAATGGAACTCCCTGCTGGCACTCATGGAGTGTGTGCATATTTGCTTAAAAGCAAACTACCATACTTAATACACTGCATCATTTTTACCTACATGTCTGCTTGCTTGCCTCGTTTTTCTTTTTTGTTTATTTGAAAGGCAGAGATACAGAGAGAAGAAACACAGAGAGAGACAGATCTCTCATCTTTCATTTGCTGGTTCACTCCTCAAGTGGAGACGAGCCTATCCAAACCTAGGAGTCAGGAGTTTCTCCCTAGTCTCCCATGCGTGCAGGGAAACACGGTCTTGAGACATTTTCCACTGCTTCCCCAGATCATAAGCAGGGAGGTGGATGTGAAGTGGAGCAGCTAGAACACACACTGATGCCTCTATAGGATGCTAGTGCTGCAAGTGGAGGATTAGTCTGCCCCTGCAATTTTGCCCCTGTAATTGTTTTCCCTGAGAGAAAACAATGAAGCCCTACCCATATCTAGCACCGGATAGGCTTTCAGTTGTTTATTAGATGACAAACTGAAAGTCTAAATAATATTTAAAGAAAAATAAATTCAAGAGTAGAAATGTCAAGTATTTTACCATGTACCATTTCTTCCTACTTTAAAGAGATCCTGGGGGAAACGCAGTGCCTCAATGCCCGTGGTGTGACTTGAATTCTATTGGTTCTGCTCTAGAAGGCAAATAGCAACAACCGCATGGAAGAAGACAAGTAATACATCTCATGCACAAATTCAGAGGCAGCCGAACATACTCCATCAATGACTCCCACCATGGAGCTTGAGAGAGATTTTGTGTGGGATCTTGCTAGGAGATTGGTCAAGAAAAAAAAAATTCTTGTAACCCAAGAAATTTCAGTCAACAATTTCAAATTCTGGGTTACAGACGTGTTTTCTATATTCGTTGTACTGTTCTATATTTTAAGATCTTTTTTTTTTATTTTATTTTTATTTTATTTTTTTATTTTATTTTATTTTATTTTATTTTATTTATTTTTTTTTTTTTATTGTTCCTTACATTGTATTATGTAGTACAGTTTTATACGCTGGGGATTCCCCCCACCCCTCCCATACCCCTCCCGCCCATGGTGGATTCCTCCACCTTGTTTGCATAACCATAGTTCAAGTTCAGTTGAGATTCATGCTAGCAAACACATGCCTAGCATAAAGATCAGTGTCTTATATTGACCAGATAGTTCAGTGGCCTCTTGGGGAGACCTCTAAGTCCTAAGAAGACTAACAAGAAAGAACCGGTCATTATAAGCCCCAACAAGGCCTCAGTATCATATACAACAATATGGAATTAATGACAGAGTAAGGGTAGACACTATGTTAAAAGATAATGCAAAGGTTTTCCCATTTCTTCAAACATCTGGGTGAGACAGTATCAATGACAGGTTCAAAAAATAACCAACAACCAAACCAAAATTACTGGTTAAAATCAAGGCAAACACTGTATCGAATCTTTTGGGAGCACTCATTTTTCCCTTAGCATTATAGTTTCCATTGTGCCCCTTTAGCCACAAAGAACTGCATTTTGTTTTTTAAAATACTGATAGTATTCCAAGAGTAATGAACGCTAAGCTTCTTATCCAATCTTCTGCTGATGGCATATCGTTGCTTCCTTTTTGCAATACTGATTGTGCGGCAATGAACATAGGATGCATGTTGGTTTGTCGTAAAACATGTTTTGGATATATTCCTAGGAGTGCTATTGCTGGTCTTATGTATGCAGATTTTGAGTTTTTTGGTGTTCTCCAGACGATTTCCATAAAGGCTGTACCAATTTGCAGCTCCACCACAGTGGAGTAGGTTCCCTTTTTCCCCGCATCCTCGCCACAAGCGTCGTGTGTTCTTGTTTATGTGGGCCAATCTTACTGGTGTTTAGTGGGTACCTCATCGATGTTATAATTTGGATTTCCCTTAGTGCTAGGAGCAGAACATTTTTTCATATGTTTGTTTGCCATTTGACTTGGTCCTTTGTGATATGTTTGCCCATTTCCTTGTCCCCTTTCTTGAGTGGTTGTTGTTTTGGTTTTTGGTTGTTTGAAGTTCTTGTATATCCTGGAAATTAGCCCCCCCCTATCGCCTCTATCGTGTCAAAAGATCTCTCCACCTCTGTTGGTTGCTTTTTTACTTTGTTGATTGTTCCCTTGCTGTACAGAAGCTCTTAGTTTGATGAGGTCCCATCTTGTTTTATTCAGATCCCTCACCTGCTATTGCTTTTGGTGTCCTTCTTAGAAAGTCGGAGCCTAACTCCTAGGTCTTGCAAGGGTATTTCCTACATTTTCCTGCAAGAGTTGAAGTTCTGGATGTAGGTTTAGGTCTTTTATCCATGTAGATTGGATCTTAGTGTATGGTGATAGATGTGGGTCTATCTTTTTGTTTCTACAGGCTATCAGCCAGTTGTCCCAACAACATTTAGCGCATTGGACTTCTATTTTAAGATCTTAATAATAAAATGAATAATAAAGCAATTCTTAGTAATGTAGAGTTACTAGGCAGAGAATAAAGGATTTGAGACACATGTACTACTAAGAAGTCTGTTCAAAAAATAACAAACAACCATACATCAGACCATAGAAGGTCTCCCCAAGGGGCCACTGAACTTATCTGGACAATAAGACGCTGAACTTTATGCTAGGCATGTGTTTGCAAGCAATGAATCTCAACTGAACTTGAACTATGGTTATGCAACAAGGTGGAGGAATCCACCATGGGGGGAGGGGTATGGGAGGGGTGGGGGGAATCCCCAGCGCCTATAAAACTGTACTACATAATACAATGTAAGCAACAATTAAAAAAAAAAAAAAAAGAAGTCTGTTCACTCATGCTTTACCAAGGCATTGTCTTTTAGAGCACGGATGTGGAAAACTCCTTTCTGCTTCTTCTTGTTGGGTGTGATGATGTAGTGCCAAGGATGCCCTCCAATCTGAAAAGCACTCTCCAAAGACGACACCTCAAACAGCAGTGGTGGTGAGTCTGTAAAATGGGCCAAAGGAATTGATTAGCTTCTCTGTTCTGATGGCCTGGGAGTGATCATTACCCAAAGTCAACCTTTCTTTGCATGCACCTTCTGTGAATTCCAATTAACAAAAAGTTACTATTTTCGAGGAAATGTAATACGATCAGGAAACAGATTTTTTTCTAAGAAAAGAAAGCTAACAGGAAATAAGCATTAGGTGATGAGCCAACTTTCTAGACATGCTTGCAAAGTGAGAGCTTATGGTCGGCAGGTAAGCAGAAATAAATGACAGGCCAAAAGGTCTTATGCTGGTAAAAATGACAGAAGTGTTTTTTTTTTTTTTTTTTTAAAAAAAAAAAAAAGCAGCTGCCTTCTAATGAGCACTTGCTCCATAGAAACTGAGTTAGTTGCTCTGTTCAACTCTCATTAGAATTCTACAAGGCAATTAAGTTTAACAACTCCTTCAAATGTCAGATCTTCCATATCCTAGACTAACAGGTATGTTCAGCAAACTTTACAAGATCTGTCTTGTTTAAGATTCCCATTAGAGAAGCAATATTAGTCATAATGAATGCAACCACTTAGCATACAGCATGGAAACTTTATTAAAGGCAGCCCTTTCTACTAGTATTAGCATCAGGAAAATCAACTTCACAGTAGTTCACATAGATACATTCATTCTGTTTGGGACTACACCATAGAATAAATTTTTGCCTTTGATCACAATGGCAGGTGGATCATAACAGATACATAAATGGAAGGTATCACTGCAATTTTTTAGATGAGAATGCCTTCTGGAAGCTTTTGGGAAACTTCATGGTCTATTTGGGCAGGCAGCTAATACATGATTCCCTTATTTACTGCTCTACCTTAGAAATTTAAGTTTTGGTTTATTCACGGCTTTTAGGAAATGAGCCTGGGTGAAGGAGATGATCCATGTGAGAACCATGTTAGACATAGCCCTCTGTGATTTATTGGTCCTCTCCAAAAGTGCAATTTACTATTTAGAACACATAGGAGGTAAAACAAAACAAAAAGCAGCCCACAAACTATAATGCTGAAAAAATATGCAAAAATTTAAGTACATACACACACACATACCACACATACATACATACACAAAGTGATTTTCAACCTATTATGAACACGGTAATATACAGAATCTTTTTAAATAATAAGAAAAATAGGAACACCCCAACAAAATTACCAAACCATTGCATGTGACAATATTCATATAGAGACTACCAAATAAGTGCATGAAGGTAAGAATTACATATAAAAAGAAATAGAGTCTGAAGTTAGGGTTGAAATTTCATTAGCTATCTATAAAGAATATAAAATAAGAATTCAAAATACAAGACATAATCAGTGCAACAGATACATTTCAAACAGAAATATTTTCTCCAGAAGTTGCTAATGATGGTTCAGAAGTGCCAGCAAGTTTGCCCAACATAGTAATGAGGGGTTGCACTAACCTGCTGGATCCCTAATGACATTTTCAATAAAAAAAGCCTAGATGTTTTCAGAAAGTGGCTGAGTCCATGCCCAATGGTAAAAACATTTTAGGATGGGCCTAGGTATACTACTAAATATCCCACAGAAAGATGTTGACAAGAACATCAAGGTGTGGTTAAAGAACAACCAGTTACTGGTGGTTACTTGGGAAAAGAGAATATTAAAAATAAATTAACAGCACAGTAGGAGTGTAAAAAGAGACTCACAAGTCAATGAAAGAAAAGGTACACTCCAGAAACAAACCCACATGTCTACCATCGACTGACTGATGACAAAGACGCTGAAGCATGCACTGGAAAGTGAAACTCTCTCAATAAATGGTGTTGGTGAAACAGGATGCCCACATGCAGCAGACTGCAACTTAGCTTCCCACCCCTACTTTAATAAAATCTAACTCAAAATGTATCAAAGACCTAAATATAAGACCTCAAACTGCGAAACTAGTAGAAGGAAACAAAGGGGAAACACTTCCTTACTGCATAGGCCACAAAAGCAAAAGTAGAAAAACAGATTATATCAGACCAAGAAGTTCCTGAACAGCAAAGGACACAATCAACAGAGTGAAAACAACAGAACGGGAGGAAAAATTACTTGCATGTAATATCAGACACAGGTTCATATCCACTATACATGGAACTTAAAAAATAACACAATTTCCAATTTAAAAAAAGGCAGAAGATAAGAAGTATTTCTGAAAAGAAATAAAATGGCCAATAAACACATGAAAATAATATTACTAGTCATCAGGGAAATGTAAATCAAAGCCATAGTGATATCACTCATTTCAGACAGAATGGCTATTATTAAAGAGATAAAAATTTTCAAAAGCTAGGTAATGGCAATGTGAAATAATGGGTTAAGCTGCTGCCTGTAACACCACCTCTCTCATGGGTGCTGGTTCATGTCTTGGCTGCACTGCTTCCAATACAGTATTTGGGCCCCTATCACTCATGTGGGACACCCAGAGGAAACTCTTGGCTCCTGGCTCTATCTGGCCAACCCTGGTTGTTGCTGCCACCTGGAGAGTGAGCCAGTGCATCCAAGATCTCTATGTTCCTCCTCCGTAATCCTGACTTTCAAAAAACATTATGTATATACGTATACATAATTATGTATATACATATATATGTATATACGTAATTTTTTTGAAAGTCAGGATTACGTATTATGTATATATACATATATATATATATACACACATGCATACATACATACACACATACAGGCTGCTGTGCTGGCCTAACAGGCTACTATTCTGCCTACTGGCACGGGTAACCCATTTGGGCACCGGTACATCTCTCAGCTGCTCCATTTGCTGCTCCAACTCCCTGTTTATGGCCTGAGAAAGCAATGGAAGACAGCCCAAGTCGTTGGGCTCCTGCATCCATGTGGGAAACCAGTAACAAGTTCCTGGCTCTCACTTTTGGACCAGCCCAGCTCTGGCCAACGCAGCTGTCCAGAAGACAGTTGAAGGGGTAGGAATAAACCTGCTACTCACACTAAACTCAAGGCAACAAATGAGAAAAAGTCCTGGAGTCATGGCCACCAAAATAAATAATCATATTTCATGTGCTGGTCAGAGGATGTAGAGAAAAGGAAACTCTTACACATTACAGGAGAGAATACAAACTAGAAGAATTGTTAAGTCGTTATGGAGAACAACATGAAAGCTCCTCCAAAAACTAAAATTTCATCATCTGTCATACCCCATTTCTGAATATCTATCTGAAGGAATGAAGTCAGTATATGAAAGGGTAGCTGCACTACTATGTTCACTGCAGTACAATTCACAGTAAGTAAGCTATGGAGGGAACCTACGTGTTAATGCATGAATAAAGAAAAGGCAGTATATACAAACACAACAGAGTATTATTCAGCCATTTAAAAAACACTGAAAAATGTTTTTGTAGCAAAATGCAAAATAAGTCAGACACAGAAACACAAATGTCCCTTGTTCTCTAGCATATATGAAAGCTAAAAGTCAATTAAGAACTTAGACTGGTAATTATTAAATGATTGGACGGGAAGAGCAAAAGAGGTTGAATAACAAGCACTGAAACACAGACAGACTTAGTAAGCTTTGTTTTCCACAACATAGTGAGATGATGGTAGTCTATAACTGTGTATTACATATTGTACAAAGAACTGAAGGAGATGATATGGCAGGCTCTAAACATAAGTACTGCATTACATGTCATAAAAATGGGTATTACAGGCTAATCAAACATTTTTAAACATAAAAAAAAAATTAGGAAACAGTGCCTGGCACAGTAGCCTGGTGGCTAAAGTCTTCACCTTGCACAAGCCAGGATCACATATGAACGCTAGTTCTAATCTTGGCAGCCCCACTTCCCATCCAGCTTCCTGCTTGTAGCCTGAGAGGGCAGTCAAGGACAGCCCAAAGCCTTGAAACTCTGCACCTGTGTAGGTGACCTGGAAGAGGCTCCTGGTTCCCAGCTTCAGGTAAGTACAAGTTCAGCTGTTGTGGCCACTTGGGGAGTGAATCAGTGGATGGAAGAGCTTCCTCTCTGTCTCCTCCTCCTCTCTGTATATCTGACTTTCCAGTAAAAATATAAATAAATCTTTTTTTAAAAAATTAGGAAACAAAAAAGAAAATATATAAGAATACTTTCAATTTAAAAGTTCATATAATAATATTTCAAATGAAAGTTTAACATAAAGTGAGCAAAATAATTGTTGTTCTGCTCACAGAAGGACCAAAAATGATACGATTCTAAAATAATCTATAAGTGGAGGATAATTCACCTTATTTACTGTTTCAACTAAACACATGATTGTTTTAAAAATTTAGATGCATGTTAAGTAAGAATACAAAGGTCAGGAAAGAGTTCATACCACACTTGCCGCAACAAATATAGCAATACGGTATATACACCTATATTCTTATTTTTGCAAAACGAAGTAACAGAAGGATAAGTCAGTAACTGAAAACCAGGGGGGCAGATGTGAGATGAGTGGTGGGAAGTAACAGTATGGAAAAGCTGGGCTTAGAAACAAAATTCCTCACGATATCTTTTTATATATAGCTTTGACCTTTCAATTACATTTACATTTTCTAACTCTAGGAATAAAATCAGAAGGAAAATAGAAAGACTAAAACTGAATAGAAATGCAAACAAATGGAACTAATTGTATCAAACTGATAACCTAATATTACAGAAAAAAAGATTTCACATTGGCATTGAATGCATTACTTTCTGAGCATACCGAACCTACAGTAAGGGAAAAAAGGACAGCAGGAAAGCCCTAATCTTCACTCCTTACTGTTTTAGGTAGTAACACAGCACCATTTTAAGAATATCGGTTATATATTGTAGGAAAAAGTTTCATTAGGAATCAAGGCATTTGGGTAAGTTAAAAGAAATACCAAAATAAAATTTTTAAAAAAATGGCTAAATTTTAAAATATTAAAATGAACAGATAAGTGGTTTTTATACATCCCCAGTTCTGTTTATTGAAAGAATTAAGAATAAGAACATCT